CTTTTTTACACCTAAATTATTCCTCGTAATAGATGAGGCCGAATCGATAGCTTGACTTCAAAACGATGACTAATGTTTTTCAGATACTAGTGTTACTATCTCTTAAGTTTCTCTTTTTCATGGATTCTTGAGTTTACTTATCCTATTAAGTTTTGGAAAAAATAATAGTTAATTGATTTTTTTCTAAAATAAATAAAAAAACGACAAATTATAATATAACTTCACAATTTAATTAAATTATTTGATGCGATGTTAAATCGCTTAAGATTGTTATCGTTAGTCTTTTTTTTAAATTTTCTATCGTGTCAAAGTTATGATTCTTTAACAAATCATAAAGAATAGGATATTTGAGATTCGCTGCATATATGTTGTCTCTTTACAGACAGAGTTTGTATGAAAAATATTTATTTTTTCAGGAATAATAGTATTGATGATAATCACATAGCACATTATTTCTTATTTTTCTCCTCTTAATTTTTAAAAATATATTTTATTATTTGGTACTTATTGTTTAAGATGCTGCTTGTAATTTGATGTTTGTTTCTTGTCATTCTTAGGTTCCATCTACATTGATATGATACTGAAGTGGGAAGTCTTCTTTACTTCATCCAGCCTTGATGAAATTAGATGAAGTGAGAATTAATTTACAAACAAAATGAACAACATAAAAATTGAAAATATGCCTTGCAATTTATCACATTAAAATCAAAATTTAAAATTATCCTAAAGCATATATATTTGATCTTAATAATCAAAATTTCTTTTAATAGATAAAAATATATAATTTGATACTGTAATATGTTTTGCAAAATCAACAATATATTCACTTTTATCTCAATCTCATTACGCTGACGTTAAGCTATTGTTATATTTGCAAAATCAAGTGATAGAGCTAACTGAAACGCTTATGATTACAATGTTAAAGATAATAGTTCATAAATATCAAAATAATTGATAAATCTTCAAATTCTATTGATAAAGTATTTCAAACACATGAAGTATCAGGTAATGAATATCCTCTCTAAAAAATGAGCAAAATGTTAGGAATAGAGCAGTTCTCACGCGCATAAGGATATTTATTCTCAAAAGATATAGTAGATTTATGTTCTAAATAGCTTTTATTCACTTTCAAATCAAGTTTCTTCAATTTATTTAATAGCCATTCTTACAGATCCTGAATTTCTAAAGTACCATATTTATTGTATTTTTACATAAAAATAGAATCCCCTAAATTGTTCAATCAAAATCAATATTTTTGGCTATAAAAGTCACAGCAAATTAATTCTAATTGATAATTTATTTTCAAGGGGATTGAGGATAATTTTTTCAAATTAAACTAAATATTTTTTTGTCATAAGCATTCCTAATCAAATATCTAAAAGTAACTCCAAATTCATTAATAATCAGGGTCATTAATATCCAGGTGACCTAAATTTGCTTTCTTAAATTATTAAAAATCTGCGATAAAGGAGTCAAAAAGATATTACATTCGCTTTTTTCAAAGTTTAAGGTACTAATTAATAATTCAAGAGAATTTATTGGTTAGATAAATTATAAATTTTTAAATTCCCATGAAACTCCTTTATTCTATGGGGTATGCTATTAATTTGTATTTGATTATATTGGAGTTAGCAATTGCTTGAGGAGAATTGAACAAAGTGCCATTTACATTATTGATGGAAAAATACATTGCCAACGCCTTTATAAATTAGGGAATTATTTATTCCATTTTCTAAAAATTAATTCGGCTTTGCTTTCATCTGTAATAACACTATTAAAATGTCCAAGATTTATTAAATAGTTCAAATAAATTCTACAATACAATATCTTTTAATTGAAGTATAATAATTTTTTAAAATTATAAAACTTATTATTCTTAATAATAAACCAATAAATAAAAAAAATTATTAATGAAATTACAATTATTTAAAAATATTATTTCAATTATATATTTGATTTTTCTGTGTATTTTTATTTCTTTTTGATAATCCTAATTCACTTACAACCATGCTCCAATTTTTACTATGTGGATCAAATTCACCTTGAAGAAGCAAAATTTTTCTTAGTAAACTAGCCATCCAACTCTTTCCACTACACCTTTTTCTTGTAATCATATGATCAACCACCACTAAGAACCATTTTTATACAATAATTTACATTTTGTATATTCGCCAGGCCATAATCTCTAAATTACCAACTTTTTTACTATTTTATATAGGCCTATGTAATTCAAAAATAAATCAGGTCCAAATTTGAAAACTTTCTCCTTCCAAATGCCAATCTTAACTTCATCACCATTACTTTCATATTCTCCACCACCGCTGCCACAATTTAGTATAAGATATTTACATTGTACAATTAGTGCCATTATAGAGCTTATATAAATTCCAACATCCAATTTTTTTACCATTTTTGTATTCGGCACTATGAATTATTAGATTCTCACAATAAAACTTTTTTAATCCAACACACACCATTCACCAAACTTAACACCTATTCTATTATATTATCCCCCTCCACTATAACAAATTCATAATTGATTATTTACATTACAAATTATTCTTCATAAGTGTCGTACCTATAATATCCCACCTTCATCATCAGAAGATCCCCCACCACTAAGGACAGTATACATTATTGTTTTCATTTTTAATTTATATCCAAATGAATCACAAAACTTAATATCCCACCAACCTACTTTTTTCCATTTTAATATTCACCACTATGCGTAACTAATTTTTCAAATAAAATCATCATCCAACTCAATTCATTTGGCAATCTCAATTCCTTCATCATATGATCCACCAACATTATAAGGTTCTATATGTCTTATAACAATTGTATTTCCTTAAATATCCCATTAACAAACCTTTTTACCATTTTTATATTCCCCTCTATAGGTTACTTATTGTTAAGTAGAAAGTCCATCATATAACTCTATCTACTTTCCAACCTCTACTCCATCATAATAAGATCCCTCACCACCTCTATTTCACTAAATATTTCTTTTTTTTTCAACAAATTTCCATCATATTTTTACACCAATTAGGAACCTTTTTACCATTGTTATATTTACCACTGCAGATGAGTTATTTACCAAGATAAGATCCATCATCCAATTCAATCCACGTGCCAATCTTAATTCCTTCATAATAAAATCCGCCACCAATATATCCTTTTATTTTTATTTCTTACATTAATCTCCTTCGT